TTATAAACACTTTGGGATTGCAGGATAAAGAACTGTAAATGCCAGCTATAGATTAACTCAACCTCATTATTCATGACAAAGCAGTTACATTTTGAAACTGAAAAATAAGATCAATAAAACCAGATGTTTAAAACAACGATAAAATGAAATAAAACATTGTAAGCTGAGTACCCCTTACTGAGATGCTTGGGATTTTTTTCAGATTTTGGAAATATTTGGAAAATATAATGGGAAATTTTGGGAGATATTTCACGTATAACATATATACATTATATACTACTATAACTATATGGATGAATGTGTATTTAATAGATAAATGTATATTTCATGTATATGTATTGTTATGCATATACATGTACATCTGTCTATATCTTTATACTGTATGTCTTCTGAAGATAACCTTCTATAATATTTGGAATAATTTTGTTTGTGAAATCAATTTTTCCACTTGTGATGTCATCTCACACTTAGATATTTTTGATTTTGATTTTTTCATTAAGGATGTGTAACCTCTACTATGTATAACTATCCCTGGTGGAGAAATAGAGACCTGTCTTTTCTATATTGATAACAGAAGAGCGAGATTTCTCTGTATTTTGAAATTGTACTTTTTGGGTAGGAAGAATATCCTGGGATACTTTTATAACATTACAAACATTTAAATCACATGATAGATTATATAATATTTTTATAAAGCATTTCACAGAATATTCAATGGCACAGTTTTTCACAAAAGTAATCAAGTTGACCCTACTTTTCCCATCTTCCTCCAGAACCACTATTCATAATTTCAAAAAGCATATAACTTTTAGCTAAAATTTAATGACGCATTAACAATTACTCTTATCCTATAGAAAATAAAATCCTATAATATCCATAGATAGAAACACTGTTGAACTAGAGTTAAAGTTCCTTTGCTTTCTCACTCTCTAAAATTTATGGTGAAATTTCGGGGTCTTCTAATTTGGAGCTTGGAGCAGTTACCTAGTTTGCTTTTTTGTAAAAATATCCATTGCTGTCTTAATAAATGCAATTGGGCATTTATGGCATTATGTATCCTCTAGACTTGCAAATGCTTGCTTATCCCCCAAACTGTAGCCCTGAAACTTTTAAACTAATCTCCATCAGTGTTTGAATACCTACTTCGAACTTCTGCAGCTAAAGAAGACAAAGGAAGTTTTTCTAGTGTTCAGTTTGGAAACGGAGCAGCTGTACAAATTAGGAGGTGTGTGTAGTAACCTCATACTCTCACCACCACTGCCTCGGTTCCCACATTCCCTCATTAAGACGTGGTCCTCACATCTTCACTTGCTAGAGGAATGAAAGGAAGGCTTTTTTTTTTTTTAAAGGAAGGAACAGTCAGCAGTAACGAGACAACAAAGATGACCCTAGACTTTACTGGAAGAGTGGTGTTAACTAGGTGTCCCCTCCTGAGCAAAGTACTTTGACTTCTTAAGCTTTTGGTGCTGTTTCATCATCATATAAATCACGAGGTCATCATAAAGAGGTAAATAGTAGTGCAGGAGATAGGTAAACGTTACGAAGCTTGAGTTAAAGGCAGAAGAGAAGCAATGTAGGTTCTCACTCAGTTAATGAACTAAATGAACATTTTGAGACTTTTTGTGGTGGCTTTCTCAGGACCCTCGAGAATGTGGACTGTTTTGCCCACACGGTGGCACTGGTTGTCCAGAAAACAGCTTCGCAAACCTCAAAGTACACAGTGGCACTCCTGAATGTGCTGGGGACCAGCAGCTGACGTGGAGAGTAATTAATAACGCATTAAAAAATTTACTAATGAGGACAATCCACATTGAGTTAATTACAAAGCAATTTTACAGGCTGGATAAGTGGGGGAGGAAACGAGTGAGAGGAGGTACTGTCTCTTCCCTGCAGTGCGATGGGTGTATTTACCCCATTAGGCAAGACTCTAATTTAGCCATGACCTGCTAAGGTTCTGCTCTGTTACCCATTTAAACTCCCTTCCAGATTATGAGAGGCAAGATGGCATTGGGTGTGAGAAGGGAGGGACATTCTGTTATTATTTATTGGAAAGAATCATATCCTAAGGCTCCAGAAACTTTGCTTGAAATGCTCTTTCTGCTCCTAATTCTCTCTGGTGACATTGAATGGGACACTTTACCCTTCAGGGACTGTTTTTCACCTTCAGAATGCATCCAGTGGGCCAGATAACCTCTAAATCCCTTCTAGCTCTAGCTCTCGATATGATGATTCTAGGAGACAAGACGTTTGCTCGTTGGGGATGTCTAGATGCGTGTTTATGTGTGTAATCACAATGTCAGCAAACAGCATCTGCTGGATTATGATAAGAGCACAAAATGCAGTATTCACACACACAGACCACGGAGCTGGAGGAGTAGATTTTGACTGATATCAGCAGCTGGGGCTTACTGTTGTCTGGGAAGAAATTGAATTTGAAAAATTTTTAGAAAGGGCTTTGGGGGAGGTACAAGTAATAAGGGAAAGCAACTTTTCAAAGAAGGATGTAATTTGCTCTTTACATTCTTTGCGTCCTGCAAAATTTGACCAATACTTATCAGTACTGTTTTATTTTTCATTTGCTTGGATCAACAATGCAGAATCTTACGCAGGTCTGGTTTTGCTATCTTATAGTGAAAGTCAAGGGTTGTTGTAGGTGGGCTTGTTGCATGGAGAAAGGATAGTGGTAGAATTTTAGTATCTAGGCAAAGGGACAGAAGTCCATTGCTCAGTTTGCTTTTTCTAGGGATCCCCAAAGATCATTTCAGCGCTCATTAGAGGGCAAATAAAAAGATACACTTTTAAGTGGACCAGAGAAAAAGAGGCATGCCGATGAAATGGGAAAGAACATGGAAATACAGGTCATCATGTTTTGAGGGAAGCTGATATGTACCAATCTAAACCTTCTTAAGAGAAAATTGAAGACTGTAGCTTTATGCACCCAATATTTTATTTTGTCTCATTTGAAGTTCATTAAGGATAATTTTATTGGTAAATCTGGTAGGCTTTCCTTACTAATAAAAAGAACATATTATTGATAACAAAAAAATCAAACAAAACAATGCCCTGTGGTACATGTGAAAAAAGAAAATGCTCTTCCAATTTTCTGGTTGGACCCTTGCATCCTTGACTCCCAGTGGCCTGTTGTATGTTCTTTGGTTGGTCTATTTAGCCAGCTGCCCTGCCCCCAAAACCTGCAAAGGATTTCATTTCTGATCCTGGGAAGCTCAGGTAAATTTTCCAATCTGGTTGGAGCTGAGTGACCAATGAACTCTTTTTCGCCTGAGACCTTCACTACTAAACCCAGGAGAGTCCAGGGCAAACAAAGACTGTTTAGTCACCAGAGTTGGGTTTAATTTCTAAAATAAGATATAAAACTGAAGAAGCCCAACTGTTGGAAGTTTGGACTTGTTTTGTTCTGATTCTAGGAGTTACTATTGCTTTCTTATTTATTTCAAGGCGAAGCATGAGCATCTGGCCCTTTGTTTTCCTTTTTGTGAGATGCAGGGTCTTGAAGGGGAGGGGAGTAGATGAAAAGGGGCCCTGCTTCCATGAAAGTCACACCGTGATCCCTCTGTGTTTGAACCTATTGTATGAGGAGGACATAAATCCTTGAAAGCTGCTTCCGGGGGTCCTGTTGAACTTGATAATGTTCTTTGGAAATTCTTAGATGAATGAATTCTCAGATATAAACTTGAGCCATAGGCTCCATCCCCTGGGCATAAACACATTAAAGTTTCTAGAGGCTGTGGGCCAGTTTCTCTTCGTTCCCAATATGTCTGTACTGCAGTTGTTTCTGCCACATCTCAGTCTAGGGAACAGAAGTGGTGTCCCTACAATTGATATGTGGCTGGCTAGATCTAAGTGCAAAGGAATGGGGATGTAAGAGCAGTGTCTAATGAGGGCAGCACAGAACAAGGGAATCCTTACCTCTGCCTGGCTTGACGGGTTTTGCTGAGAGTTAAATGAGCAAGACAGTCTCTCACACATTGGACATGCACCAAGCTACTTTGGAAATAGAAATTATGAAGAGGATTTGAGATGTAGGCAGTGCTATGCACATACCTACTTTTGAGTCATCTTTAGACTATTATGTGAAGGAGCTTTTATGAATCTCCTTTTAAAGAGTGTAGTGGAGTGATCAAGAACATGGGCTTTGTAATGCCACCCCACCTTCACTAGTTAGTGGCCATGGGAAATCAAGTGCATTGTTTGAAATTTCTGTTTCTTGTTTTTAGAGATACAGATCTGATACACATCTGATGATGCGGATGATTTTTGTTATGAGAATTACATGCTGTGTAAAGCGCCTAGAAGCCTGGCCTATTGCTCTCAGTAACAAGAACCTTTATTGTCAATCCTGAGTTGTAGATGAAAAGATAGATGTTTATAAAGTATAAGTAATACATTAAAGACTTGAGTCAAGATTTAAATGCCTGTCTGTTGCCTTAAGACCTTTAGTAATATTTAAACTTATTTTAATTTCAAGGAGCATTAATGTTCCCTGACAAACAATTGACCAGATGGAGAGGTTCTGAGATTGTTTGTATGCCAGTTGAAAATAATAAATAAAAATCCACAAGCATTATTAATGTTTGATAAGCATCTACAAATAGGTACCCTTTCTAGTATTTCCCTATAATACCTCTATAACCTCATGGACTTTTTGAGGTATGTACTCCAAAATATTTCCATTTTATAGATGTAGAAACAGAGACACAGGACTATAGAACCCAAAGAGGAGCCAGAGCTTATATTAACAAGATCATTTCCAACCCAAACATTCTTGGGGAGTGAGCAGGCAGCTGGTGCTCCAGGGCTTACTCAGGCATGGCTACACACTCAGGTGCCCCAGCTAAACTTCCTGAAGAGCCAGGTGCAAGCAAACTGGGCTGGGGGCTTCTGCCCTCTGATTGGCTGCCATCACTTGTGGTTAGCTGTCTGTGGTGGAGAGGCTGGAAGGACAGTGGAGGTTGATAAATAACACAGTAGTATGCCCAGAAGGGCAAGAAAACAGGAGGCAACAGAAAGCACACTTTGCTGTCTCTTGGGTATTGAGTAATAGCAACCACTTCGCAGACTTTGGCCAGGCAACTTGCTGAGTGAGGTAACACTTGTATTTTTCATGCTCTCAGCCAAACTATTTGTCACATTTTTATGCTTCTAATCAGAAGTAATTGAGCTTCTTTCTTTGCAGGTGATGAGGGGAGGGAATGAGGGAAGCTGACATCAATTTTTTGTTTTTCTTTCTAATGTATGAAAATAGAAAAGGTACAAGAGGCCGAGTTGAGTTCAATGACAATAAGGCTCATGCAAAAATGCAGTATAGCTAAATTACTGTAAATGAGTACTGTTGGTAGAAGAAAGGTTAAGGAAAGCTTGTTTACTGAGTGTGTAAATGAATCAGCAGAGGGAAAGATGTGAGGCTTGTGGGAAGAAATACTGTAACTTCATATGAGAAAATAACCAGGAGCAAAGGAACTTTGCGTTGGAAGGAAAAGTGGTTTATTTTTTTCTTTCAGGTGTTGCCAGTGTTTTCTGGCATTTCTGAACTTGGTTGGATTAAGGGTAAAGTGACTGTTTCTTAAAATGTGATTTATGTGCCACTCAGACATCAGGATCACTGGAATGATTATTTAAGACATGCAGTTTCTAGAACTGCATCCCAGAAAAGCAGACTCTGTGGGAGCTGAGGATTTCCATGTTTTGATGTGTGTGTGTGGGAGGAAGTAATTTTCCTAGTGATATTGATTCATATCATTTTTGAGAACAGTCACGGTAGAGACCCTGCTTTGAGGTTATGTTCTTGAGTTTGGATTTCTGATCAGGTATTGTGACTTTCTGAAGTGGCTCCAGGAAAAAGTTACCTAGAGGAAGGGTAAGAATCATTGGGTTATTTGTGTAGATGGCTGCGACTCATAAAAAAGATTTTGATGCTATCTGTGTTTTGATGATTGGTGGTGTGTGGCAAGTAGCAAGCAATAATTTGAGGCAGAAATAAATGAATCGGTGGGACCACTGTGACCATGAAAGATCACACTTGGGCACAACTGGTCATTCTGAAGTTATGTAGATGAAGTTGTAGGTGCTAAGCAGAGAGACAGTGGGTGGAGGAGTAGAATATGTATGTTATAGGATAGGGAGCTGAGATGGAATGGGTGTTGTACTCCTGCTGTGGACCAGCTTGCTGAAGTAACTAATAATAACACCTACTTCCAACTACAGCTGCTACCTTGTCCAAGTTGCCCCGGGCCTCTTCGTTGACATGAATCCATGCCCTGTGGAGGGAGGGCCCCTTGCAGCTTGTTGGGACTGGAGCGAATCAATACCAGACCTCAGCCTTTTAGATTCTGAGGTTGGTCTATTGTGGAGACCTTTTTTTTAACAAGGGAGGAGATTAAACCTTTGCAATCTTTCTGAGTGTCAAAAGATGAATGCAAGATAATTCTTTCATAATCCTAACTTGATGCTCTTCACAGGTTATTTTAGTCCTCTTTCTATTTGCTTAATAGAAAAGAAAGACAGTGTAAAGAGAGTGGTCATATTTAAGATTTAGCTAGGTCAAACTCTTTTGGGAGAAATCTAAAAAGAAATGAGGGAAATGTGACATACACATTTGGTCTTTAAGACGTTGTGCAAAATGGTCAGGAAATTTAAAATATTTGTTTTGTAAAAAGTTCATGAAACAAAAATAAACTAAAAGTATCTTTTTACCAGTGATATTTTTATTTTTCAGAGCTTAAACACAATTTGGACTTTAGTATACTTCCTTCTGGGGTTTCTGTAAGTTTATATATATATAAATATGCAGAAATGAGACTCAACTTTACTTTTTACTCTTTCATGTGTCTTCTGCTTTTTGATGTGGACATCTTTCTGTATCATTGATTCATACAGAAATAGCATATATACACTAATAAATATAGAAAATTCAATTTTCTGTCTTTTCCGTTGTACATTTTAACCACAATTTATTTAATAATGACTTCTGGTAGTTACCTGACTTATTTCTTGTTTTTCAAAGTAACAAAAAAACTTTCAAACAAATCTCTGTCTTCATATAAATATGACTGTACTTGTAGAAATATTTCTATAGACTAACGTCCCAACAGATTTGTTATAACACAGATAATATAATGTAACTTTTAGAAGATGATGTTAAAATGACTACCAGACATTTTATATGAAATTACACTCCTCCCAACAATATAGGAAGATATTTTAATTTTTTCATGCTTTCACTGATGCTTAGGAATATCGATAGTTTGAATGTTAGTTCATTTCATTGGATAACTAAGCATATCTCACTCAATTTGAGTTTTAAAATTCCCATCTTTTTTCAAAAGTAGTGTTTTATTTTAATGGGTGAAAATTACAAGTAAGAATGAAAAAAATATAAAACATGTGTATGTAACATAATCTGCATGTTAGTATGTGCTCCTAAAACCTTAGGCACATTCTTCCTGTCTCCTTTTTACTTTTAGTTTGGAGAAACATTTACCAGTTGAATTAGAAAACAATCTGATATGTACTTTTAATTTGCATATTGGTGACTAATAATTACTTGGTGATGGCATTTTTTCTACAGGAATATTTACATTGATGCGTTTTGGTTGATTTTGGCATAATATTTCAGGGCAGTGGGAGTCAAGGGAGGAACCAGTAGGAGCGAGATTATTCTACGGTGCCTGCTGATTTACTCCATATAAAGAACCAGTATTTAACCTGTTGATTTTCAAAAGAATTACTGTTTATTTTTAAAACATTATCTTGGAACCCCAGGAATAAGTACTTTAGAAAAAACTGGGTAGTGAAACGCTAAAGATATGAAAAGGAATTTGGGGTTGAGTTCAAGTCACAAAGGCAGGGGCGCTGGGATGGCCTAACCTGTCACAGGAGAGAACTGAGAAACACAACTTAATGAAAAGCAACTTTGAGGTGTTTGCGGAGTTACATCTGAGATACTTTTGAGGTTACCGTGACCTTTGATATGGTTTGGAATGGTTTTATCTCTTAGTCCTGTGTCATGAATGTGACAGAATTTCCCTTTTTAACTAGACTTTTAGAAATTGTTTTTAATTTTTATGAAAAGCACCGATCTCTGAGGCATAATGCATACAAAATGGAAAAAACCTTGGGAGTTTAAAGAGAAAACTTAAAAGCTCATTGGGAGTCTCAGTCAAGATTAGTCCTTACCCTATTTACTCCTTCTCAGCGCTCCAAGTCCTGCTCCTGGTCCAAGTGTGTTTATCTGAGACTTGTTTCCATGGTTATGTGACAACAAAAATATCATCAATTTATTTAATTAAAACCATGCAAAAATATGTTGCGCAATACAACTGGTGGTAAAAACAATAAACTCAAGCAGATTTGAGAGAGATAGGTGGGATGGTATATTAAAAATACTGTTGGTCTTTTCAATTGAATGTTAAATATTTTGGGACAATTGAGCTAATTAGGTCCAAATAATACTGAGGTGGCGTTATCTAGTTTTTGTTTGCATTCCTACTGAGGCCAGCTCTACAGCAAAGCTGGGTAGGATGTCTTCCAATATGTGATTTTTTTACACAGAAGCAAAACATTTCTTCCACCCCTTCTTATTATAAAGTGTAGTGCTAATGACCATTGACTGGTAAAGACTGTCAGATTGACCCATGTTGAGTTTTATCTGAAACCACTTAAATTTTCATATTAAAAGTCCTAATTTAGCATGTTAGTATATGCATGCTATGGTTTGTTGCAGGTTTAAAGAGCTCTCTGGTTTTTGTTTCTAATGCAAACATGGCCTTATAATTTACAGCAGCATTCGCTAATTAAAATTGTAAGCATAATTACTATCCATGATACTTATTATTAGTTTGCATCCATAAAGCTCAAAATTAACTTCATCCTTTCACCTAGTGAGTAATTAGTTTCTTTGGGTTTGTAGCTTTATCATTCCTTTATGATTGGTTTGGAAGAAATAAACAACCAACCTCCCAGAAGACTGCTTTAAAAAGCTAGAAATATATTGTCCAGCTAGTGCAATGAGGCTAATACAGTGTGGAAAATATTGCTTTTCTTTGGTTTTAGTAGCCAGTTTAATCTTTGCATTTACTCACAAATACCTACTAAGCACTTACTGTGCTTAGGAACATTGCAAAGAAAAAGATGAATCACTCTGTCTCCAAAGACTTTGTTTTTGTGGAAAAAGAAGTAAATTTTACACACATGTATGTGGTATTTAAAATTATATATACGCAAATATAAAATTATATATACACAGTTCAAACACTGTGAGACCATAGAATGACTATTCTTTGCTGTGTGGTCAGCATATAATATTATATGATAGAATAGGAGATTTATTAAATAACTTTTGAAGGGCTGGGGATTTAGCTCAGTGGTGTAAGTGCCTGCCCAGCAAGCACCAGGTCATGAGTTTGATCTCCAGTAAAAAATAAATGAAATAATAACTTTTGAAAATAATAATTGAATAGATACATCACAGTTTTTATTACTTGCAAGGTGTATTAATAGGATATTGACACTTTCTGTAACTGGACTTGTTTTCACTGTCCCTAGGTACCTCAGCCAGCATGGATGTCTCTTTGCCACCCAGTTTGGGACTCAGTTCTGCCCCTGATGAAATTCAACATCCACATATTAAATTTTCAGAGTGGAAATTTAAACTATTCAGGGTGAGATCCTTGGAAAAGGCACCTGGAGAAGCTCAAAAGGAAAAGGATTCTTGTGAAGGGAAAACCTCCCTAGAGCAGTCTCCTGTGGTCCTGGACAAACTTGGTGGCCAGAAGCCAGTGCTGACTCAGCCTGCACTGAAGCCCCATCCCAAGTTTTCTAAGAAATCGCTTGATGATGGGAAAGCAAGAGAAAAAGCAATTCACCTAGCCAACCTTCGACACTTCTGCCGCATCTGTGGGAATTCTTTCAAAACTGATGAGTACAACAGGAGATACCCAGTCCACGGGCCTGTGGATGCTAAAACCCAAGTCCTTTTAAGAAAGAAGGAGAAAAGGGCCACTTCCTGGCCAGACCTCATTGCCAGGGTTTTCCGGATTGATGTGAAAGCAGATGTTGACTCGATCCACCCCACCGAGTTCTGCCATAACTGCTGGAGCATCATACACAGGAAGTTCAGTGGGGCCCCACGTGAGGTTTACTTCCCAAGGAACGCAATTATGGAGTGGTACCCACACAACCCATCCTGTGACATCTGCCAGATGGCCCGTCAGGGACTCAAGAGGAAGAGACATCATCTAAATGTGCAGGTCAGCAAAAAATTCAAAGCTATGCTTGACCGAGCCAAACAAGCCCGTCAGCGCAAGAGGAGAGCTCAGGCAAGGATCAGAAACAGAAGGGAAGTCATGAAGAAGCTCACCAGCTGTGGTAAGATACATCTCAGCACCAAGCTCCTGGCAGTGGACTTCCCCGCACACTTCGTGAAGTCCATTTCCTGCCAGATTTGTGAGCACATCCTTGCCGATCCTGTGGAGACCACCTGTAAACATGTATTCTGCAGAATCTGCATCCTCAGATGCCTCAAAGTCATGGGCAGCTACTGTCCCTCTTGTTGCTATCCATGTTTCCCTACTGACCTGGAGAGTCCTGTGAAGTCCTTTCTGAGCATCTTAAATTCTCTGATGGTGAAATGTCCAGCCAAAGAGTGCAATGAGGAAGTCAGCTTGGAAAAATACAATCAGCATGTCTTAAGCCACAAGGAATCAAAAGAGACTCTTGTACATATTAACAAAGGAGGCCGACCCCGTCAACATCTTCTGTCACTGACTCGGAGAGCTCAGAAGCACCGGCTGAGGGAGCTTAAGATGCAAGTGAAAGCTTTTGCTGACAAAGAAGAAGGTGGAGATGTGAAGTCTGTGTGCCTGACCTTGTTTTTGCTGGTGCTGAGGGCAAGGAATGAACACAGACAAGCTGATGAGCTGGAGGCCATCATGCAGGGTCGGGGCTCTGGCCTGCAGCCTGCTGTTTGCTTGGCCATTCGTGTCAACACTTTTCTCAGCTGCAGTCAATACCACAAGATGTACAGGACTGTGAAAGCCATCACAGGCAGGCAGATTTTTCAGCCTTTGCATGCCCTTCGGAATGCTGAGAAGGTCCTTCTGCCAGGCTACCACCCCTTTGAGTGGCAGCCACCTCTGCAGAATGTTTCCTCCAACACTGATGTTGGCATTATTGATGGACTGTCTGGGCTTTCATCCTCTGTGGACGATTACCCAGTGGACACCATTGCTAAGAGGTTCCGCTACGATGCGGCTTTGGTATCAGCTCTGATGGACATGGAAGAAGACATCTTGGAAGGTATGCGGGCCCAAGACCTTGATGATTACCTAAATGGTCCCTTCACAGTGGTGGTCAAAGAGTCTTGTGATGGGATGGGGGATGTGAGTGAGAAGCACGGGAGTGGACCAGCAGTTCCTGAAAAGGCAGTCCGTTTCTCATTCACAGTCATGAGAATTACTATAGCCCATGGCTCCCAGAACGTGAAGGTGTTTGAGGAAGCCAAACCTAACTCTGAACTGTGTTGCAAGCCATTGTGCCTTATGCTGGCCGATGAGTCTGATCACGAGACCCTGACTGCCATCCTGAGCCCTCTCATTGCAGAGAGGGAGGCCATGAAGAGCAGTGAATTACGGCTGGAGATGGGAGGCATCCTCAGGACCTTCAAGTTCCTCTTCAGGGGTACTGGCTATGATGAAAAACTTGTCCGGGAAGTGGAAGGCCTCGAGGCTTCTGGCTCTGTCTACATTTGCACTCTTTGTGATGCCACTCGTCTGGAAGCCTCTCAGAATCTTGTCTTCCACTCCATAACCAGAAGCCACACTGAGAACCTGGAGCGCTACGAGGTCTGGCGTTCCAACCCATACCATGAGTCAGTAGAAGAGCTACGAGATCGAGTGAAAGGAGTCTCAGCCAAACCTTTCATTGAGACAGTCCCTTCCATAGACGCGCTCCACTGTGACATTGGCAATGCAGCCGAATTCTACAAGATTTTCCAGCTAGAGATAGGGGAGGTGTATAAAAATCCCAACGCTTCCAGAGAGGAGAGGAAGAGATGGCAGGCCACCTTGGACAAGCATCTCCGAAAGAAAATGAACCTGAAGCCAATCATGAGAATGAATGGCAACTTTGCCAGGAAGCTCATGACTAAAGAGACTGTGGAGGCAGTTTGTGAATTAATTCCTTCCACAGAGAGACACGAAGCTCTCAGGGAGCTGATGGACCTTTACCTGAAGATGAAACCAGTGTGGCGCTCCACATGCCCTGCTAAAGAGTGCCCAGATTCCCTCTGTCAGTACAGTTTCAATTCCCAGCGTTTCGCTGAGCTTCTCTCTACCAAGTTCAAATACAGATATGAAGGCAAAATCACCAATTATTTTCACAAAACTTTGGCACATGTTCCCGAAATTATCGAGAGGGATGGCTCCATAGGGGCATGGGCTAGTGAGGGAAATGAGTCTGGCAACAAATTGTTCAGGCGCTTCCGGAAAATGAATGCCAGGCAGTCCAAGTGCTATGAGATGGAAGATGTCCTGAAACATCACTGGTTATACACTTCCAAATACCTCCAGAAGTTTATGAATGCTCACAATGCATTAAAGAATTGTGAGTTTAGCATGAGCTCCAGTGCAACCTTAGCAGACCCATTAGGCATAGAAGACTCTCTGGAAAGCCAGGATTCAATGGAGTTTTAAGTAGGGAAACCACTTATGAGTTGGTTTTTGCAGATGAGTTCTCCTTTGGGTTGCATTGCGGTCTTCTCTTAGGCACCTTTCACTGCGGGGTGTGGGGCCTCACCACCTAAGAGGTGGCAAGCTGGGGGAGAGACCACAGGTGCTGTAACCACATCAGGAACGGATAACTGATGAGCTGATGGCTTGAGCTGCTTAGTGAGTTCCAAAAAGCAACAGGAGAAATCAGTTATTTGAAAGCACAATAACTTAGAACAGGAGTTCCAGCGGGGGGATCAGAGATGAAAAAAGATATGTGTGTGTGTACCACTGAGGGCCGTGAAAATCAAAGCCAAGGTTGTCAAAGAACAACCAATGAGGCCAGGAAAGGAGTTTGTTTTGCAGTTTTCTTTTATTCTCCTCAATTTATTAGATTTTGTATTAAGATACAGTAAGTCTTTTCTATTTCATTTTTATAGGATTCTTTATTTTATGAATTTTGCATATCTTAGTCTGTAAGATTCAAAAAAGCCTTTTAGGTTTCTCTAACAATGCCTTACATTGATAAGGCACGATGCTCTTTACAGGGACTCTCAATGCCTTTTCTGATTTGGTACGTTTGTTCAGAAATACCCCATATCAAGAAAAGTTTTAGAAAATCAACCCTTTTCTATCATTTGTTTAAATGATATCTCTACTGTTACATTCAGAGTTTAGCAGGTCATTTGCTGTCATGAATTTTTCAGTAATGGGGTTGGAGAATACACTCCTAGATAGAGCTAGCTTTTAAATCATCCAATAATATATGTTCTCTTAACTTAGCTATCAGTAGCCAAGTTTATGTCTTTAAATTTCAAATAGTTTAGAATATCTAAATGTTTTCCCATACAATCTCAAGGCCAAAGACTTTTACAAATTCCCATGGGCTCACTGTCTAAGAATAGATTTACTGTTTTGCTGAAAATGTCTGATTTTCACTACATAAAATCTGGCTCAATTTTATTAAATCCAGGTTTCTCAGATTCTTCCTTTCTGTGTTATTATTTCAATTATGATTAGTTTATTTTCAGTATATTCAAATTTTAGTCGTTGGTAACTTTGCAATTTTCCTGCCTGTTAAATTTATTATGAAATTATTATTTCATAATACAACGGAAGAGTTAACATTTGTACATTGTTTATTTTTTGTGACTTTAAGAATTTGCTTTTTCTTTCTTTTTTTTTTTCCCATGGTACTGGGATTTGAATTCATGGACTTGCAAATGTTTGCTAGGCAAATTCTGTACCATCAAGATACATCCCTTATCCTTTTCTATTTTTTAATTTTGGGAGAGTCTCATTAAGTTGTCCAGGCTGGCACTGAACTTGCTTGCCTCTGACCTCAGCCTCCTGAATAACTGAGGCTACTGGTGTCTACCACCTCAGTTGGCATGTTTGGAAGTTTTTTTTTTTTTTTTTTTCATTCATTTTGCCTTATCACTTTCTGGGGTAGGCTTATTATCCCCAGGGTTAAATGATATACCCTGAATTATAGGGACAATAAATATCTGATTTTTTTTGAGTCCAGGTTTGGGGGCAGAGTTGGATGAGTTTTTTAATCATTTGCATATTTTGGGCTGTTTGATAGAAGAAAGTGCTAACCCTCCAGAGTCCATAAATCTCTGGTTGGTGGCTCCAGTTATTTGAAAACTATTGTCTGCATCCTTAGGAATTTGGGATTTGCCAGTTGCTGGCAATTTAGAGCAGGCATGAGATTTTATATGCCAGTGAGTCATAATGATATGTTAGTGTTAATTAGTTTTTTTCTTCCTTTGATTTTATTGGCCATAATTGCCAATCTTCATACACAGTATATCAAAGAGCTTTGTAATTTAGTTGTCAAATGTGCATCAGTGACATTAGCCTAAATGGTATGCATTTGATGATTTGCAGGGACTGAACTCAGTTTTTTCCATATAGCAATTCTCATTGTCTTTTATATGCAGAATATCAAAGACATTTGTAATTTAGTTGTCAAAACATATACATATTTTAATGCTGCAGTTCTTGAAAACTGTTTTGCATGTTGAAAATGAAAGGGCTTCTAAGTCGTCCCTTTGTTTCATCCTGCTTAGACATGTCTCTGCCCTAATACACAGCTAAATTCAGGTACATAGCATGCTCCCTGAAGCATGCTGGTGCTGATTTTTAGATTTTTCCCTCCATTTTCACTCTGTTACTCGATTGGTAGCACTGTAAATACTTCCCAATATTAATTTCCCCCCTTTTGCATCGTAGGAACTATTTTATGTGACTAAGAGCATGATTTATAGCACAACCTTCCCGATAATCTCCTAATAAGATTATATGTTGATAGACCCTAGAAGCATCTAGTTGCAGGATTTCAATATGCAGAATTTATGCCTATGGTTATTTTTTTGCTCTCATTGTTAAGAGTGCAATATTGTAGATCCTGGTGTTATATTTGAGTTTTATTTTTAACAATGCCCATTGCAAATGCAGTCATATACCCTAGGGAAATTCACCACACTGAATGGAACATTTTTTTTTAACAAGCGTAGACTAGGACTTCAGCAGTGCAATACATTTTCCTCCCATGAAACCCACTCCTACAAGTTGTCCTGCCAACCCCCTGGGGTACACTGCAGGGACCAGTGATAATGGCTGATGACAATTGATGAATGGCTGACAGGAGGTTAAGAAATACCTTGGGATTAATAAGCACATGCCTAGATACCACAGCAGAAGCGAAAGATGTCTTTTTCTTCCAGGAGAGCTGGAATTTAGTATTGCCTCAATTTATTTTCACAAAATATAGATGAAGATAAAGATTTTTCTTTTTGGTTCCACTGTAGGTCTTGAGTTGCATCCAACAGAATTCAGATTATACACAGCTAGAAGGTAGGATTTATAGGTGGTTGGGAGGAACAAGTTGTTTCACAATGCATCATCCACTTATTAAAGGGTTAGGAAAACATGCGCCTAGGTACCAGAGTACATCCCTGGGCTTCAGCTATTGTTACTGTATGACAGGTGATCTGTTCTTTCCATATTAAGAGATGTTAAGGAAGAGTAGTTACTTTATACCCACTTCACTTTTCCCTCTTTGACTATAGAAATCTATATAAATATACCTCAGAATTGATTATTGATGAGCTATTTCTCTTGGTGGTCTTGCACTTTCACTTTATTTTCTCACAAATAATAATGCAATTTATTTAATAGCTTCCAGAACTTTCTTATTTTTCTTTCAGAGGAAGTTCAGGTACCAGGATGCAATGGATTTATTTGTGGAGGTGAGCACCTCTGTTTCCATGTTAACTGCTTTTGAATGAAAGGAAATATGAATTTCATTACTTATTTTTATATTTTGATATTTGCAATCACATTATGGTTATTGTTAACAATTTTGTGTTTAAGTATTTGAAATAAAAGCTTAAGTTCTGAAAAGAGTGGGTGTTGTGATTTACATTATTATATTATTACATATTAATAACATTGAGTACAGCACTTAAAAATGAGCACATTGATCCTCAAAGGAAATGCAGAATAAATTTGGTGAACTTTGAAAGAGAGGGGGATTGTTTACTGATAAAGAGTATAATTTATCTTAATGCAGGGTGAGACCATTTGGCTCCAGATAATTAAGACTATTTTTTATTATTTATTTCTACATGTTTGCAACACATATTAATTACATTAATCTTGGGGAATTGAAATGTATGTTTCAATATCATCACATTTTAATCATCTTTTCTTCCCCTCTCCCTACCAACCCCTCTCTCTCCCCTTCCCCAAACCCTCTTCGCATGTCCATGAAGACTATAGGGAAGTAGACTTTTTAAAAAATTTTATTTTAAAGAGAATAAAACCAAGCAAAATAAAACAGAATATAATAAAGCCAATCAAAACAAGATAGCATAAATGACACAGGATTTCAAAACAAGATAATAGGAAATCAACAATGGTTACCATAATACCTCTTATTTGAGTCACTAAAAACAAAACAATGAATGGATTACAGGACTGAGAAACAAGATAACAGTAAATCCAAAATGGCTACCATAATATGTCTTGTTATGTTTGAAATAGCTGCCCATGCCATCAGATATAATAAAATCAAACAAGATAAAACATAATAAAACCCAACCAAACAAGACAATGAGAATGATACGGAATTTCAAAACAAGATAATAGGGAATTAACAATGGCTACCACCTTCAGAAGGAGATCCCTCATAGATGCTACACTGCATAGCATTATCCTCTGAATAGGTGATCAGACTGTTGACTTAAGCCTGCAAAGTCAGTGAAATGCTAAATACTGAAAAAATTAAGTTGCATTTTACTTCATTAGCTGTCATCATGTATTTCTCGAATCAGCTGGTTGCTTATGCGGAGGCAGGGGGACTGGCTCTTGTCTCCCTGCCCATGTAACAGAAGGGGTTGGCATCTGGATCTCCCCCAGTCAGACTCACAGGAGGTCTTACCTTCTTTTTTTTTTTTTTTTGTCTTTTTCCTTTTTATCGGTACCAGGGATCAAACTCACAACTGCCTGCTTGCAAGGCAGGCGCTTATGCTGCTGAGCTAAATCCTCAGCCCCAGTCTTACCTTCTTGTTGACTTCTTGTTCTCCTCCCTTGTAGTCCATAAAAGGTGCTGACTTACCACTCTGAAAGTGCCCAATCTCATCTGATCTGGGAAGCTAAGCAGGGTCAGACCTTGGATGGGAAGTAGGCTTTGAATCGTAAATCTTTTGATTTTTTAAAAATTGTTTGAGAATCTGATAAATACAGACTTCCTCCGGAATATCCCTTTGCTTGTATGCTTTAAATTTTGGTCAGAATTTTTGTTGTTTATCCAGGACCACTTCATTTATAGCAAAATTATCTAGAGCTCAGATTCTTTTGTTCATTGCTTTTGATAATAATAATACATAGCTTCTATGTACTGAACTTTTTTTGGTGGCAGACACTTTGCATACATTTTCTTTGATCCCTTTGACTGGAGTACTGCTGTGAGCGCCACACTACATATGAGGTCATCTAAGTCAGCCAGAAAACGGCAGAACCGTGCTGCCACTGGCACACTCTTCCCTCCAGCTCTGGTCCACTCACCTTGTACAATGTGGTCCTTTCTCTGCTTTACTGGAGGCGTCCTTACTGCCTTTCACTCAGGACTGAAATTCAGACCCACTACCTTTCTCGTGCTATACCAGTTTTCAAAATATTGAAATAGATCTTCACTTATAGATAGGTACTGCAAGGCTCAAGCATCTCTTCTTAGCCTCATGGCCTCCCTCCAAGAGCCCTGGATCACTCCACAATCCTGCAAGTGGCAGGTTAATTCCTAGAAGAGCTGAGGCCTTCTGCATCTGACTTTTTTTTTTAGTTGGACTGTTACTCTTACCTTTAAGAATGTACCATTTTTTTTTTAATCTTTGAAGGCTCAGCTAAGGTTTGCATTTTTCCTGATATACTTTCCAAATAAGTCAGCCAAATAGTGGTAGGATGTCTTCCCTGAACAGACAGTGTGTGCCTGGCATTGGAGACAGTGGTGAACAGAAGAGACAATTTCTGTTTGCAAAGAGGTAAGCAAGGTAGACTTTAAATCAGCAATAAGACTAATAATCACTTGATTATTAGTAGATGTCATGAAGGGAAAGCACCAGGAGCAGTCAGTAAAATTGTGTGTGATGTACAATAGGGTAGTAGAATTTAAACTGGGATGTCAGACAAATCATTTGTGGAGAAGGAAGAAGGAATAAATGACATCAGGGAATCAGTTACATGGGGTGATGGACCAGGAGCGGACTTAGCTGGTAAGGAGACCCTGAGGTCGGACAGCAATTAGAAGTACTTAGGACTTTCAGGAACACAGTGAGTAGGAGCAAACAAAGCGGGTGGGGCCTGCATGACTTGAGGAATCAGGGAGAAGCTTTGCAGGCAGGACTTGGTGGACTTACCTGTTGGAGACCACTTCAAACAGCTCTGAGCAGGATTTAAATTTTACTAATTGGCTTTCTATGTTTGTCTGTGAGTCTGTCCTAGGCCTAGGTCCCTTGCCTGGCAACGGGAGCTGGTTCATAGTAAGTGAACCTCTATGCATCTGATCCTGGCTGAGGCCTGTAGTGGCCTGTGAGGCCAGAGATAGCTCAAAGGGCAAGATAAAGCCACAGGTGCGGACACTCTGGCTCCAACCCCAATTAATTAGGTAGAGACTGCAGCTGCAAAGATTACTCTCCTCGGGGCTGGGGATTTAGCTCAGCGGCATAAGCGCCTGCCTTGCAAGCAGGCAGTCGTGAGTTCAATCCCTGGTACCGATAAAAAAACGAAAAAAAGACAAAAAAAAAAAAAAAAAAAAAAAGATTACTCTCCTCTAGTCTCACTTCTACCATGTCTTTATGATAAGACAGTGATAATGAATTGACTTGATTCATTCAAGGGAGTCTTCCTTGAAGTGACTCCCAAGGTCCTGCTCATTGCCTGCACTTTCCTCAGTCTCTCTGCCCTTTGTCTTTGGTCCTAATAGAAGTGGACTGATCCAGAGAATCCTTTGTCATTACCCTTGAAACCTCGAGCTAAATTAAAGGGTTTTGACCCTCCTAAAAATCATACAATTTTTCTCTTTATTTAACCTCCGCCTCTCATTTGGGAGATCGAGGATCTAGGACAGAACCCGATACTTATCCTAAGTGCAAAAGGAAACCATCCAAGAGTTTGAGGTATACAAATGGTGCAGTGATACCAGAGTGAAGCATTGTGGGTGATTTTGGAAGATATTATGCATGGGGGATTTGCCCTGGTCTAAGAAGGCTCATGCATAATATTTAAATGGCATGATAGCAATTTTAAACATTTTTTCTTTACTTCAGTGGTACACTGCCTATGAACTCATATAACTCACTCTCTCAGATGTGTCTAGGCCTAGAGAGGAAGAGATGAAGGGAGGTTCCGCAGAAAAGACATCCTCATCTTTTCATGAAGTTAGCACTACTTCCCCTGGCTTTCGCTTGCTTTCTTATGGAAATTTCCTTTTATCGCCTCCTGACCTTTATGTAATAATTTTTTAAAATTTCTGGTGATGACAGCATATTTCTTCCTTCAAACTATATGCATCATGACTCGCTTGGAGGTCAAGGCCTGTGTATTTCTACATGAAAGTCTGATCACAGTCTATACCAGTCTCACACAGCCATCTTTTCGTGTTAGTGTTTAAGGAGTTCACAGTTGAAAGAAGGGTTCAAAACTGATTTGGTCCTTTTCCTTTTTTTGAATTATTACTATGCATTTCATCTGTTATGTCAAATCGTCTATTTTATATTTTCCATTATCTTTCTTATAACATCTCTTCAGTAGAGGTCAATATAGTAAAACAAACTGATATTTTGGCTCTTTTTGAGACAGGGTCTTTAAATTATCGAAGGAGGGTCTTGAACTACCAATCATCTTGCCTCCGATTCCCACAATACTAAGATTACTGGGGTGGGCATGTGCCATAGTGTCCAGCTCTGACTTACTGTTATCAGTAAGTCCTAGGTTTTTTCCCTAAGGAGTTGTTCTTGTGTGGGTAACCTAATCCAATCAGGCAATTCCATTTCTTCAAGCATATTATTTTATTTTTTATTACTTTCCTGTCCTATCTCTTCACTCCTGACACTGTTCTACAATGAGACTTAAATTTTCTTAAAGATGAACTTCCTGGTTTTTGTCTGTTTTTCAGGTTTCAAAATATTTAATGTGGCTTTTGGAATTTTAATAGATGCTTTCTTGTTGAAACCCGAAAGATGACTTGTTATAGAGAAATTGAGCCATAGATTTCTGGTGACTTTTAAACTACATGTAATAATTAGCCTTTTTAAAAGAAAGTTGATAATTTTTTATTCTCATGAATATAGTTGAATTGAATTTCTATTTTTTGAATTGATATCCAGAGATGGGATGAAGCATTAGTTCTCATGGAAATAAGTGTGAAGTATTAGATGTTCCCTGACAGAATAAGGTTTGGGACAGTGTGATGTCATTTACTGTAAATTTCAAGTCAAACAGCAGTGTTCCATACTAGTGTGGAGATTTGGTGGCGTGTAAGTAATTTGGAATTCTTGTCACTGTGGATTACAATGGCTGTCTGTTACATCTAAATTTACCGTGAAATCTATTTTAATCCTGTAAGAACTCTTTTCACTAGAAAAAGGAAATCTTTAACGTAAGATTTCCTTCTGTGAATCGTGCTGTACTTTTGGTTTCCAAACTCTATTTGAACAAGATGCTGTTTAGCACACAAAGAGTTTGTTTCACAATTCATCATTCACTTATTAAAAGATCAGAAAAACATTGAGACAGCAGCTGAAGAAGTGAACTCATTTAAGTCTACATATCAAGAACTTAATTCCATTGGATTCAGTGAATA